TTATATGAATGGCTGAATGTGAAACTGACGATGTGCCCTGTAAACTTTCACTCAATCCACAATAAAAACCTTAAATTAAAAAAAAAAAACAAAAAAAAAAAACTGAAGAATATAATGATATATTTGAATCACCAGGAAAACAAAAATAAGTCAAACAAAATACCATTATTATAAAATTGGCAGACCTTGGTTCTGTATGATAAGCACTGAACTGCTAACCTCAAGATCAGAGGTTTGAGCCTACCAGCTGCCTCAAGGGAGAAAGATGAGGCTTTCTGCTCTCACAAAGATTCACAGGTTGGGAAACCCTTTACAGTCACTTTAAGTCGGAACCAATTCTTGACAATTAAAAAACGGAAATCCAGACAGGAATAAAATACCACTGGTAAAATAAATAAGATCAAGTGAAACTGCAACCCCCACAAATTAAGAGTAAATGTCTTATTTACACCTTTCTAGTGTGACACACGGTGGGTTAATGTGTCAGACTGCAAAGCCATTTGAACTGCAAGGTTGGTGGTTCAAGCTCACCAGCCACTCCTCAGAAACCCTATACAGACAGGGTCACTATGGGTCGGGATCGTCTTGATGGAACTTAACAACAAGACCTAGATCAAGGAGCCCTGATAAGCATAATGGGTTATGTGTTAGGCTGCTAACTATGAGGTCAGCAGTTCAAACTCACCAGCCATTCCACAAGAGAAAGATGATGCTTTCTGCTCCCACAGAGATTTACAGTCTCGTCGTAATGCTATACAGGATGTCTATGAGCTGGAACTGACTCAATGGCTAGCAGCAGCAGCAAAACTAGATCATCTGTCACATTATTATTTAACAAAGTTAGTGTATGTATACATAAACCCAATTCTGCCAAGTAAAACACAGCAATACCAAAATCCAGAGATAACATTTTGATGCTTTAAAGAAGTAATTTTTAAAATACATAGTCTCTCACCTATTATCAGATGGCAAAAGAGAAAGCAAAGCCAAAGCTGAAAGTTTTCTTCGTTCAGGCTGGGTAATGTTGTCCATGCGATCAACCCACATTTCAATCATATTTCCTAGAAGTTGGTCCATCTGAAAAAAGAGAAGATATCTCAAAACATTTGAAATCCCACTTATGAGCGGGCATACACTTAATAAGACTATATCATCATAAAGCATGGTTAATGTTCAAAGTAAATCACAGAGAAAATGCAAGCAAACCCTGAAACTGACTCATTTGACAGACAATTACCCCTGAGAGCTAAGTGGTAGTGTTTATGTGTCGTGGAGTCACAACTGACTCATGGCGACCCTGTACAGGGTTTTCCTAGGCTGTAAATCTTTACGGGAGCAGAACGCCTGTTTCTCCCGCGGAACAGCTGGCAGTTTCGAACTGCTGATCTTAAGGTTCGCAGTCCGATTTGTAACCACTACACTACCAGAGCTCCTTAAGCAGACTGGTTAAAACCAGTATGAAATCAATGAAGGATTTTAGTAACTTCAATTAACAAATCACAAATCTATTAGACTCTTACTTGTGGTGGTAAAGTGTCATTGGGTCAGTTCCAATTCACAGCAACCCTGTGTAGAATTTCCTAGAAGTGGCTGGTGAGTTTGAACCACCATCCTTGCAGTTCAGTGATTATCCCATAGTGCCACACCAGGTCTCAACATTCTTCATTTGTTGTTGTGAGGCGCTATCGAGTCAGTACCGACTCATAGCAACCCTATGCACAACACAACAAAACACTGCCTGGTCCTGGGCCAACCTCACAATTGTCGCCATGCTTGAGCCCATTGATGCTGCTATTTTGCCAATCCATCTTGCTGGGGGTCGTCTTCTTTTTCACTGACCCTCCACCTTAACAAACATGATATCCTTCTCCAGAGACAGGTCTCTCCTAACAGTATGTCTGAAGTATGAGGGACAAAGTTTGGCCATCCTGGTCCCCAAGGAGCACTCTGGATGCACGTCTTCCAACACAGATCTGTTGGTTCTTTTGGCA